GAGGAGGAGGAGGAGGAGGAGGAGGAGGAGAAGGAGAAGTCACCAAAGGAAGGAAAATCAGCTGCCCCTTAGCTGTTTTATTAATCAGGAAGTCAAGTGTCTTTTTACAGGACTTAAATTGCGACTTCAGGAAGAAATCACCAAACAGTCTCCAACATTGCAAAGAAATGCTTTGTACATCAAATCTTCCAAGATTAGCCAACCACCTGTTTAGTTAACTATTCGGATGGTTTGATTTTTTTTCATAAAGAGAAGGAATCAGTAAATGTCAATGTTCATAAGGATGTTAAATTACCCCTTATGCTGAATGTGTACAAACTTTGTACACCTGAACTTCAAGAAAAAATGGTCTCTTTTCGATCAAAATTCAAGGATATAGAAAATAAAAAAGTGAATCAGCAGCCAAATACAAGTGACAAGAAGAGTAGTCCCCAGAAAGAAATTAAATATGAACTTTTTTCATTTGCTGATGATATTGGCTCCAATAACTGTGGATACTATGACTTACAAGCAGTGCTAACCCACCAGGGAAGGTCTACTTCTTTGGGTCATTATGTATCATGGATGAAAAGAAAACAAGATGAATGGATCAAGTTTGATGATGATAAGGTCAACATCATGACACCAGAAGATAATCTTACAGCTTTCTGGAGGCAGATACTGGCACATTGCTTATGTTCTACTCTACAGGCCCAGCAGAGTGGAAATAATGGAAGAGGAAAATGAACAGTAATCTACTTAGCTATTTATGCTTAGGTGTGAAATAAATGTTATTTGTTGATCACTTCTATAATCCAGAGCTTTAGAGGAAGACGTTTAGGTGGTCTCGTCTGTTTCCTCTTGTGTGGAACAAGAGAAGGCAGAAGCAGACCGCTTGTGCATCACCCTAAAAATTATGGAAAGAATATTACCTTTGGATTATGCTGTCCTCTATAAAGGGGCTGGAAGACAGTAAGATCTTGCCTTAATTTTTTAAAATTCTTAGTTGAAATATCTTTCAACCATTACCTTCTGTGATAATTTTTCTCCTTGCCTTTTGGCCCAAGAGTCAACAATGATGTTTATTGCACATCTGTTCCCTATTGTTTGTTCTTTCATGATTTGTATCACCATTCAGTAGCTGCCCATCCTTTGGCTTATCTAACAATCATTTTTCCAAGAAGGCGGAAAAGGAAGTGTTGCTCTCAATGTGTAACTCAGTGCTGCTGTCCACTCCCATGAAACATGGGTGCAATCAAGTATTTTTCCAGCCTATTGCTGGCTTTTCATGACTTTTAAATAAATTGGGATCAATAATAGTAAAAAGTAAATAAATAAATAAGTATTTCATTTTCCAGCCTAGAAAATTACTTTATTTTGATTACACCAATGCAATACAAGTGAGTACAGTAAAGCCCTGGTTTTTGTAACTGTTTAAGTAGTTAATGCTCTCACAGCTGAGAGAAAGAATATAAAATAATAGTGGCTTTCCATGAGACAACTTCTCAGTAATTGAAATGAATTAATAACTCCAAAATTAAAAAAAAACTAGCATTCAAACTTCTTGATAATCTCTGAAGTATGAATAAATGCAAAAGGTGGAATAAAATATATCCTAAGAAGAAACATCAAAGAAATATAACTGAACTGCAATTCTCATCTTTTTAACAAGTAGACATTTCTTTCTGAAAATGATATTAGATTCTCAGCTTATCATTTCTCTCTGCATCAAATAAATATCAATATTATCCTTTTCTGCAACCAAAATACAGAAGGATGACATACCACAAGGCCACTGGACTGGAGTGTTAGATGTACATAGCTCCATTGCCAACTTTCCACCTTGCCTGCAGTCTTTTATGTCACAATATCTGCTTTGAAGGTGTTCAGAACTGGATGAGGTTACATGTGTTAAACTGCAGCTTTTGGCTCTTAATGTTAGTTTCCTTAAAAAGTATCTGACTAAAACTTTAAGAACCCTGCACGTTGGATTTTGTTGTACAGTTCTATGGACAGAATGGCCAATAGAGATTTCCCCATCTTCTGTTCCTCCAAGCCTCCAGTTCACTTGGAATCTAGAACTTTGCCTTTAGATTGCGGTCCACTGAAGCTCATACTGATAACCAGGTGACAAAGGTGTTTCCTCAGTCTTTCTTTTCCCTGTCGCTTTGGAAAACTCTCCTGGTGCTTGATCAGAGCAAGCAGGGAGGAGAGGTGCTTCTCCTGATGGAATGACTTGACCTGAAATTTTAGCACTTAATTTATTTGACCTAAATATGCCCACCCAATGAGAAATTATCTGTATAGTAGAAGAGACATGCTGTATAGTCCTATTCCATGGTATCTAACCCAGAGATGAGCAGACTCCATGATATACTAAATATGTAAAAGATTCACTCAAAAAAAGAATTAGCCTATTGCACCTAGTCACCTCCCATGGAGGAAAACTCCATGAGAAAAACAGTTCAGTTGAATGAACTCTCTTATAATAAGTGTCTAAAAATGAAATAGACTGTCCTGGAAAATGGTAGCCTGAGACTAGAGATACTCACACATAGACTGGAGAGCCACTTGAATGACAAGCCTTAGAGGACACTGTAATTTGAGGACACTAACTCTGAGTTTCATTCTAGTTTCTAGATGTCGTGCGACTGGTCCACCAGAAGTCCTGGAAGGTGGGGGATATCTTTCACGCAGTCGTCCAATACTGCAAAATGCATGAGGAGCAGAAAGAGGGAATTCCAAGTCTCTTTGACTGGCTCCTGGAACTGGGATAAGGCTGTTTTGCCCTGGGGAGTGTTGCTTTCCTTCATCCTAGCTTAGAAAACAGTGGTTTGCTCAATGCTCTGAACTTTATCGCTATATCATGTCATAGTAGCAGAACTATAAAAAAAAATCTACTGCTCAAGTCCAATGTATGTGGAGTAAACTGAGGGAAACCAAAATATAGGTCTATACAAATCAGTATAACACATGGATATATTCAAAAGAGCATGAATTGGAATGCCTGGCAAAAAAGACATTTCTCTGGGGCCCCAAATTAGAAGGCATAAAACAGTCCCATGCTCCAGGAAAGCTGGACTCATGTATGTTTAATAATGTAAAATAATATGAGATGTCTCCATTTATCTGAATCAACTCGACATGATTTCACTGGTAAAAATAATTTCATAAACTATGCTGTAACTTTTATTGTACTGCCAGCCCAGGGAAACAGGATATGGATAAGAAACTCCCAAGCCTTTATACAAAAGCTTTCCACTTTCAAAGCAGGATCAGCGGAGATGAACAGTCATGCAGTAGTATATCCGTGTCCTCTGCTGAGTGATTTCATTCATTTACTGCAATCCATTGATAAATAGTCCACTGCTTCTAAACATTCCCTGGACTCCTAGTTAATCAGAAAAATAACAGTAATTCACCTGAGAGAGTGGTGGGAGATTGAGGATTTCCTTGTTTTCACAAAAATATTACCTGGATACAATGATTACAGAATTCTTAGCATACGGGAAAGTTTTGTTACGAACAGAAAAGAAATGGGTTTTTCTTGATATTAAAATCTGCTTGTGTATCAAATTATATAAAACATGAACTTTCATTTTATTTTATTGTAAATTATGGAGAGACTTATCTTAAATAATATATCGAGTTAGCTTAGATGTTCATAAACCATGAAGAGATTATTGTCTAAAGGTGTACGCTGACACTGAGCCTAGTGGTTTATTGTATTATGAAGGTGGTGACATCCACAAGGCTGAAAAGCTGCTTTGATGACCTTTAGAGTGATAGACACAGGTAAAAACCTTGTGTTTGACATGACCAGTCAGGATGCCAGACTTCCTCACTCCATGATACTCGCACGGGATTTGGGGGATAAAAAGACAATTACATTTAAAATATTGTAGTAACAGAGATGGACTCTTTTGGAAAATAAAAATATCTAACATCTCCCTGATAAGCATTCCTTCCTTCTAACTAAATGATCAGAGAGGTATTTACTAAGGGTTTTCTGAAATACTATGCGTTTACAGCATTTTCCAAGATTGCAAAGATATTTTAAATGTAAACAAGGCCCCCCACGATTAATGTGGGCCTTGCTTAATCATCCACATTTTCAAACGCCAAGAAGGCTTCCTTCTAAGCCATACTTTTTGTTCCTACCCACTCACACCAGGAATCTTGTCTAGTGCTCACTGGGCATTTCTTGTGCAAATAGTCCAAATTTAGGTGGTATATTTCATTTGGCTCACGAACCAAATTTAAATGCTATCCCTCATCTCAAACTGAAATTTGCTTCTTTGTGCTTCTGAATGGAAATGGATATATTTATTTTTAAACAGTCTCAGAATATTGTGTGTAGAATTTCGTTGTGCTCAAATAAATGTTTACTTATCTCACAAAGCACACATGCTGGATTGTAACCATGTGATAAAGCTATATATGTTGTGCTAATGTTACAAACAAATCAATAAATTCCTGTTGCCAAATTGTCCATCATTTTTCCCTAAAATCTTTAAGCACTTCGTAGAAAAAAATAGTCATGGTGCAGTTAGATGAATGTAGATGTATTCCTTAGGTAAGCTTTGCTTTCCTACTTTTAACTTTTGAATTAGTAAATATTTGATGATGTCTGTTAGAAACAGTAACATTCATGGAAATTGTTGTTTCTTACCTTTGGCACCTTTCATGTTTGAGGCCAGGTAATCTTCTGCTGCAGAGAATTGGCCTGTGCATGGTAGCATGTACAGCATCATCCTTGATCTACCCACTAGATGCCAATTGTGACTTTCTAGTTGTAACAACCAAAACTATCTCCCAGCATTGCCAAATGACATTTACAGTTTAAAAAAATCAAAACTAGTTGTGAGCTGCTGATATAACTAATCCACTAAAGGGCCAGGGCCCGAGTCTCTATGCCATGTTAGGGTTAAAGGAGGAGTCTGCAGCCTCTGTCTAGAGTCTCTAAAAACTAGGCTACTTCTTTCCAAGGCCCATGGGCTGTGGCCTTTATGTTAAGTCTGGGGACGGGAAAAATGCACAAAACCAAAAAGGAGTCTGAAGGCCTGGCAGTGAACCAACCTAAGTATAAGTGAACTAGAGATAACCTTATAAGCGTTAGAGATGAATGTACCAATGTTCTTTGAATTTGGGGGATGTATTACTACAGTGTGTGCAAATAAAGTGTCAAAATGCATGAGCATTTAACTTTATTCACTAATTTAAAAATGTAGGTATGTTTTCGTAGCGAAAAATTCTCCAGTCATCCAAGAACACTGTCAAATAAAAACAAGTTCTAGACATTGGCAAAGAGAGACTTTATTTAAATCAATTGTTGCACAGGATGGGGGCTATTATTTCAGTGAAGATGGCAACCATAGGTCCTTCTCCAACCATGAAATGAGCGGGTGTCTCAATGGATAGGGGAAAGGGCATTTTCTTTTACAATGAGAAGTAAAATGGCTAGAAAGGATAAGATCTGAGGAAATAGGATAGACAGTGTGAACTGCCAAAGTGACATGAGCAGTAGGGGAAAGGAAAGAAGGGAAAGGAAAAAATTTGAGAAAAGGAAAAAATGGAAACGAAGTCTTTGTAAATAGGAAGAGGTGCAAGGCTTGAAGGGAGGGCAGGGGAATGGGGAATAAATAAGAACCAAGATACATCGTGTACAGGTACAAGATCCCAATGATGAATATAATTATACTGTATACCTAAAATTTCCCTATAAACTTAATGAAAAAAAAAAGTGGCATGAGCAGATGGTAGATCAAGAATGTTTCCTTGTTAGCTTATTCTCAGTAGGGCCCCCTTCAGGAA